AAAACTGCATGAATGGACTCCCTCCCTGCCACATTGAAAAGTCCCAGTGCATGCTCACAAAGAAAAGAGTTTTGAGTAAAATGCACCAAATTGATTGATCTGTTAGCAAGGCCTGACCTCATCTGGTCACAAGGTCCCTTTCTCACACTGCTTCTGCAACCCACTAAGCCACCACCCTGAGTTCATGTAGTGAAGCTGTGGTAATATCTCCTGTGAGAGTAACATTGTTGAGGGTATCCTTCCGGCAATGTGTCATGGAGTACCAAGGCTCCAGGGTGCTCGCAGGTGCAGAGAGGAAGCCTGCCTTCAGAAGGAGGCTCTGTGTATACTATCCCCAGAATGCTAGCAGGTGTAGGGTGGAAGAATTTCCCCCAGAAGAGGCTCTATGTACTCTCTCTGCAGGGCCACACGGAAATGGGCTCAGTGCATCTTCCTGTGTAGGTCAAGCTCTATGGCAGGAACTTCAACATTGCCTTCTGTCTTACTGGAAGGCAAACAATATACTCCTGGCCTTAGCAGCAGGTACAAAAGACTCCAATGTGAGTCCTACTCTCTCCTACCTTCTTTCTTTAAGCCAGGGAGACGGAGCAGAAGAAAGTACATCCTTCCCTGTCTGGGGACTTGCTCACGGTTTATCTTTATTACAATAAATGACAGTGGTATGGAATCAAGTTGTCCCCAGAAGGTTGCAACTGCTTCCATGCAGGCTGTGCCATGCATGGCTCTTTGTGCCAGCAGGCTCTCTTATCTTCGGGGCCACACCCTTGTCTTGGCATTCTACTAAAGATATCTGGAGCCCATGATGAGAAACCCAGCATCTTCTCTGCCAGCTGCACAGCCCTGGGAATTGTGGGAGAGGCTTCCATTTTCTCTGGCTCATCCCTTTTAAATGTTTCCTCTCACTTGTCAAGTTGTATAGCTGTTCTCTTCTCTCCTTTCCACTTGAACCCAGATGTGGGACCCAGAGTTACCTTGGTCCAGTGATCCACTGGGAGACTGAGATATAGAAAAAGGGGGTGGGTGGTAGAGAACATTCCAGATCAGAGCAGAAATGGACAGTGTGGAAGGGACTGAAATGGCAGGTCCCTCTGGTCTCAGCACCCCTTTCCAGGTCACATGCTTTCCCTCTGGCAGCATCTGACCTTACCAGCTCTACCTCCCCTGATCCTCGCCCCCCCCACCCCTTCCTACCTCCCCTGCACAGCCTTGGAAGCATTCTTTCCCTTTTTAGGTAGTGTTTTGTTCTGTTTCCTCTCTCAACTTCTATTTGCATATTCAAAAAACTCATTAAGATCTGCAAAACAAATGACCCTTGCTTGTGCTCCAAGGCCTGCTCCTCCTCAGGAATTTTATTTTTAAATTTTTTAATGAAGGCAGAAGCTTGGAAATATATTTTCTTTTTTAAATGACTGAATTTGATGTGAGGCCTCTCTCTCTGTGTGTGTGTGTGTGTGTGTGTGTGTGTGTGTGTGTGTGTGATACATATATACATACACACATACATATATAATATACCCACCCAAGACTTCAGAAGTAAGAAGCATCCTCTTTGGTACCAGGAGCCCCTTGAAAAATCCTTCACTTCAAGTCCTGGTATAAAATGGCCTGGTATTTGCATAGAACCTATGCACATGCTTCTTCTGGCTTTATATCATCTCTAGATGGCTTATGATGCCATGTAGATGCCCAGTAAACAGTTGGAATCCCATATTGGTTGGGGGAACAATGCCAAAGGGAAACAGTCTGTACATGTTCCTCATGGGCAGTTTTTTAAAGAAATATTTCTGGTCTGAGCTTGATTGAAGCTATAGTGGAATCCTGCATATCCAGAGAGTCATCCAATCACTAATTTCTGTTTGTGCTCATTTAAGTGAAGCATCACTCTTCTTAAAACATACAAGTTGCTGATGGATGCCAGTTCAGTCTGGGGTGACCATATATCTTGACATACACAGAACAGTCTTCAGACCTAGTGCTGCCTCCCTATAGTCTCCTCTAGTACTATTACCCCACCACCACCACCACCAAATGCCCTGATTCAGTGACACCTAAATCGAGGGTCACACAAGATGAAACTATACCTGACAACTGTTTCTGGGTCTTTATATGAATTTTCTCCTTTACAATCTCATGCCCAGGCCCTACTAACAACAGTGAAAGACATAAAACAGCCTCTGGGAATCATGAACTGATATCAGCAGGCAAGAAAATGCCCAGAAAAATGACAGGGGTGGGGGTTACACATTCTCTGATTAACATATAAGGACAGCCCAAGAGAGAGAGACAGACAGACAGACAGACAGACAGAGAGAGACAAAGACAGAGACAGACAGACAGACAGAGACAAAGAGAGAGAAGAAGAGAGAGGGGGAGGAAGAGAGACAGAGAGAGACATAGAGACAAAGAGATACAGAGAGAGACAGAGATACAGAGACAGAGAGGGGGAGACAGAGAAATATTCTCTGATTAGCATATAAGGACAGTCCAAGGTGGGGGGAGACAGAGACAGAGACAGAAAGAGAGAATATTTATTTAGCTGATATGTCTATCTGTATGCCTCTATCATTTGTCTAGCCTCCTATCTATCTCTATTTCCCAATCTATTCATATAACCAACATCTGTTTATGATTTACCTAACTACCTATCTACTTACCTATCTAACATCCTTATCTGTTTCTCTATGCACACTATTACTATTATCTATCGTCTATCCATCCATCATCCATATATACCTATCTATCATCTACCTACCTACATACCCACCTATCTATCTATCTATCTATCTATCTATCTATCTATCTATCTATCTATCCAAGTCTGTGAAATGTTGTAAGGGGAACAATCTGAAGATGTTTTTAGCATCCCCTCTATCATGTAAGAGATGCTCACTGTGAGTATCAGAGCAAGCCTGTGGCTAAGTAAAGATGTGAATTGTGCATTCTCTCCTGCTCCACCACCTCCCTTCTCCCTTGTCGCCCTTTTCTCCTGGCTCTGAGAGACTCATTGCTCCCTCAAAACAGCGGATTGGTTTCTGTTTCAAACTAGATGGTCCTTGCACAGAAAGGGGCTTAGAACATCCAAGTCAAGTGGCAACCATTGAAATAAGGTTGAAACATGGTAACACGTGTAATACACCGCACGTTTCAAACTAGATGGTCCTTGCACAGAAAGGGGCTTAGAACATCCAAGTAAAGTGGCAACCATTAAAATAAGGTTGAAACATGGTAACACGTGTAATATACCGCATATCCAACCACAATGGTTGTTTCGCTTCCTTTTTATGGTGAAGCCCTTTCTGTTCACAGCACCTCTCAGGGGTCTTAGAGACCAGCTCTTCCTCAAGTATTCATTAGAAAAGTGTCCCTAGCTCATTCACTCACTTTCAGAGAAGGGCTCCTGGCCATGTAATCTAAAGGGCCAGGCAAATGGATCGGGACAAGTTACTAAGATCCATGGGCAGAAGACAGGAGACTCTGAGGGTACCAAATTCCCTGGGATACCCGCCTACCTTCCCTGGGCATGGTTTCCTCCTTTGCAAAGCCAGGCATTGAATTTGATCTTAGAGGTCTCTGCCAGCAAGAGCAGCCGAATCCCCTCCTAGGCTTGTCTTTCAGTGCTATTTATAACAAGCTTTCATTTCTCACCAGAAGAGGAGGAAGCATCCCACTAGATGACCTTGGCATTGCCTGAAATGCCCATTGAAGGAGTGAATGGACTTCAAGGTTATGCCCTTGCCTATTGTCAGATTAAAAGAAGGATGCTTGTTTAGGAGGCAGAGTGCTTGCCTGGTGTAGGCAGGCAGTGTGGTCTTCCCTTACGGGTGAAAGCAAATAGGCCTAAAAAAGCAAACATCCCTGCCATGGCTTTGCCCACTGGACTTTGTGACCTTGGATGTTGTTCAGCTTCTGTCAGCCTCATCGCCTTCATTTCTAAAACAAAAATTTGCAAGATATTGCAGAGAGATGAAAAGGTCTAAGAGACCAGCCAGTGTTCATCCATGGAGGGGCTTGCTGTGGGGATGGCCCTAACAGCTGACTGCCCTGTAGTTAGGGAGCAGGCACCTGCCATTCGAGAGCCTGGAGGAACTTGGGTTGTTCACCTCGGATCAATGCTTTTCCATCAGAGACAGTTTTGTCACCCCTCCTTCTCAGTAGACTACGGAGTAATAGAAGTCTGAAAACGGCTTGGTATAGGCACGGCTGGGGGAGGGGTGGAGTGGGGTTGCCATCTGACAGGGATAGACCAGGGTTACTGAGTGCCCTACAGTAAGAAAGGCAGTCCCTTGTAGTGACACCAGGGCTGAGGACATGGCCTTGGTATTTCAGTTAGTTGCAGGGGCATTTGGATGGTGTACAGATTTTCCAGCTCCTGGCACAGTGGCAGCTCCTTAAGAGGTGTGGGTTGATCTGAGGTCACAGGGAAGCGGGGGAGATCTCACTGGATGAAGTAACTGGACAGTCAGGGATGGAAGAACACAGTAAAGACGCACAGAGTGCTTCCACCCTTACCCACTGTACTTTGTACGCCAAGAGCATCTCCTCTCTGTGGTGTTTGAGCCAAAGTAGGAGTCTATGTGGGAGAGACACTGTCATCAGAATCCAGTGTGAAAAGGGAACTGGGACTCGGGATAGGGCTCTCTAAGGATTCTGAGGCCTTGGAGATAGATGATGGAGATCAAGTCCAGAGCTTTGTTGTAGTGATTGACAAGGCAGTAGGCTAGTGTGAGAGCCTCCTGAGGCTGGTACTGAGACCACATTCTGCTTTCACAGAGTCTCTTCAAAATGCTCTTCCTGATTTTCATTCACTCTGTAGTTCTGGGAAAGTGGAGATTGTTGTCTTCCTTGTCCACCCTCAGGCTTTTGCCTGGAGTCAAGGTTGTTTCCACCCTCACTCCCAGTCTACTCAGGCCTGGTATAGTTCAGCACTGTTTTGTGCTTGTTGAATGAATATTCAGGCACATGGGCACTTGTGTATCGAGTTTCCTTCCTTTACCCTACAGATCAAGGATGTTGTGGGCTACAATTCTTTGGGCCACTGCTTCTTCACTGAAGATGGACCAGAGGAACGCAACACTTTTGACCACTGCCTTGGCCTCCTTGTTAAGTCAGGGACTCTCCTCCCGTCAGACCGGGACAGCAGGATGTGCAAAGTGATCACAGAGGATTCATACCCAGGGTACATTCCTAAGCCCAGGCAGGACTGCAAGTAAGTGTGTGTATAATACTGAAGAGTATGCCTTACACTAGGGTCTGGGTGGGAAGGGTGGAAGGGGATGAGCATGAACACTCAGTGTCCTGCCTCAGGACCTTAAAAAGCTTTCTGTTCATCTCTGCCTATTTCTCAGAGTGAGGTCCCTAGAGTAGCTTCTTCTCCCTCTCTCCCCTCTCTTCTTTCCTCCCCCTCCCTTCTTCCTCTGTGAGCCTCACTAGCCCTGTTTTGTCTGGAAAGCTCTGGCTCACCTGTGGCTCTATGCCACATGGCATCCTTGTAGACAGGAAGCAGCTGCCACATCAGCTCCCAATATGTACCCATCAGCCTGGCCACAAGAATCTCTTTCTAGCCAGAGAGAGACACAAATAGTGTCACACAGAGATACAGAGGAAGGCAGAGATAGAAAAATACAGACAGAAAGGGACAGAAGCAGACAGTCAGACAGACAGGAAAACAGAGACACACACAGAACGGCAGAGATAGAAAAATACAGACAGAAAGACAAAGAAACAGAAGGGACAGAAGCAGACAGTCAGACAGACAGGAAAACAGAGACACACACAGAAAGGCAGAGATAGAAAAATACAGACAGAAAGACAAAGAGACAGAAGCAGACAGACAGACAGACAGACAGACAGGAAAACAGAGACACACAGAGAGACAGAAGACAGACACAGGAAAAACAGAGAAACACACTGAGAGACACAGAGATGCAAAGACCCAGTAACAAACATGGGCAGATGCAGAGACACTGAGGAGAAACACAGAGAGAGGCAGATAGAGAGAGACACGTGGCTTTCTACACAGGCGGCCTCCCTTAGAAGGGTTCACAAACTGCACTTAGCTCTTACAGTCCTGAACAGTGCACAGATTAAATGCACTCTCTGCCTTGTGGCAAGAAAATGAACCTCAAATGGATCCATTAACAGTTTCTCAGATCTCAGACAAGAGACTCTCTCCACTAATATTAGTGTCTCCCGTGGGCCCTCCCACTATGCTGCAGAAAGAGTGCTTGCTGGTAGTCCTTCATAAGATACTGTTTAACCTCTGTCCTCTCCCTGCAGTGCTGTGTCCACTTTCTGGATGGCAAATCCCAACAACAACCTCATTAACTGTGCAGCTGCGGGGTCCGAGGTAAGCAGAAATAAGCAAGGTGGATCTGGCAGAGCCTGCCCTGGAAATGTGTGTGTTCAGGGCTCAGGATCTCTCCTCCCTGTGACTGGAGATGGGGAGTCCTGTGACTTGGTTTTAAATGGCAGTTCTGTCTGTCACTCCATAACCCTGGTGATCATAACTAATGAATGGTTAATTTTGGCTTGTGGCTTAAGGGAATAAAGTTCATAGTAGTGGGGAAGGCATGGGGGCAGAATTACTTATGGCTGTGACAGTGGGAGATTGTTCACATCTGGGTGGATGAAGAAACTGAAAGAGGGACTGGAGAGATGGTTCCATGGTTAAAAGTACTTATTTTTGCAGAGGGTCTGGGTTTGATTCCCAGCACCCACATGGTCCTCACAACCATCCATAACTCCAGTTTTGTGGAATCCTATGCATTCTTCCAACCTCTGGACACCAAGCATACATGTTGTACACAGACATACATGCAAACAAAACACTCATACACATAAACATTAAAACTTATTTTTAAAACAATAGAAAAAAGACAAGAAAGGAAGTAGAGCCAGGCTATAAACCTTAAGTCCCACCCCACAATGACCCACTTCCTTTAGTTCATCTCCCCCTTCTAAAGGTTGCACAAAAAAAAGGTAGCATCACTAGCTGGAGACCAAGTATTCAGACACATGAGACTATCGGGGACACTTCATTTCCAAACCATCCCAGAGTACTAAGCAATTTATGCACAACAATTCTTTATGGAATGAGTTATTTTTCCTTCAGATGGTACCTGATGCATCAGTGTTGTAAGCTAGCACCGTGTGATTCTGACATCAAGGCTATGCCCTGGGCTAGGGTGGAGGCTACAACAGGGAGACATCACGCATTCAAGCCCCAAAGAGCTGGATGGTGGCAGCTAGGCAACAAGCACAATGTTCCGCTCCAACAGCCTTGCTCTGACACAGCTCTCCCCTGCTCCTGGTTTGGCTCCTGCCTGTTCCTTTTTCTGGGCCTCAGCTCCCAGATCGCCAAGAAATGCTGAGAACACTGGCTTTTGGAACTCTATCCATCAGGAGTCTAATCTCTACAGTGACCCCACTAATTTGGACAGTAGCAGATAGGGTGGAGCTGTTGTGAAGAGTGAGCGATGTCGAGTAGCCAAATGACAAATAACAGTAACCTTGAGCTTTTCCCTTTGTCCATTCAAGCATTGGACCACACGGGAATGTTTGGTAGTAAGTGGTGTCTAGTCAAGCCCTGGACCACATGGGTGTGTTTGGTGGTGTGGGGTGTCCAGTCAAGCATTGGACCACACAGATGTGTCTGGTGATGGCCTGTTCTGGTCACAGTACTGATGGCCAGCCTGTTCATCCCCCTGCACCAATGGCCAGCCTGTTCATCCCCCTGCACCAACCTGCAGATGATTAGTGCCTGGAAAAAACTACTTTCTTCCCATGGGTCCAGAGCAGCCTTCCAAGCCCTGCAGGTTACTGACCGATCACCACAAGTCTTCTTTTGGGGGCCTGCCTTGTCATTCACAGCATCTACCCAAGCAAAGGAGCAAGGTGTGCCTTCCCACCAGCTTCCCCTCCTGGTGGATGCTCGGTTGGACATCCGGATTGATTTTGTGATCCATTTGTGGGCGACAGTGATGTTGACTATAAAATTAGGCCTGGCCATGGACTAAGGGAAGTTTGGACATGGTTCTGAGGTGGCATTGGCATTCTAGACTTTCTCCCTTCTTGCTGGGAAGTGGGTGGCTCCATCTGTGAGGGCTAAGTCAGTAGAAACTCCTTGGCCACCTTCACTGTTTGCCCCCCTTTTCTGAGTACCAGTGTGTACCTTGCTCCAAGCTAGGTGCAAGAGTAAAGTGGGGGAGGATTGCGATGACTGCAACTTCAATATGTCAAGAACTTTCCCGCCCTTCTTGCTGGGAAGTGGGTGGCTCCATCTGTGAGGGCTAAGTCAGTAGAAACTCCTTGGCCACCTTCACTGTTTGCCCCCCTTTTCTGAGTACCAGTGTGTACGTTGCTCCAAGCTGGGTGCTAGAGTAAAGTGCGGGAGGATTGTGATGACTGCAACTTCAATATGTCAAGAACTTTCCCATAAGGACAATTGTTGGACACACCAAGAGAGTTTGGGGCAAGGCTGAGATAGAAGATGACAACACTCTATGGACCAAGATGGTCTCTAGGACATCAAGATGGTGTCTGGTCCAAATCTTAACAGTGTGGACAAGGAAATTGTACTTCTAGAGAGGAATGGGTACATCCAGGGTCAAACAAAAGCTATTTCAGAGAGCTAGTGAGATATTTAAGTGTTTAAAGTTCTTGATGTGCAAGCATGAGAACAAGAGTATGTGTCTGTAACCCCAGTGATAGGAAGCAGAGACAGGGAGATCCCAAAGCCAGATCCCAAAGTCCCTCTGGCCAGCCAGTTAGTCAGTGAACTAACTCCAGGTCCAGTGAAGGACTCTGTATCAAAATAACAACAATAACAGAAAGCAATAGAAGTCACTTGTTATCCACCTCTGGTCTCCACATGCACATACACAAACAAAGTCTATTTCAAAAAGTTGAACCTGGGAGACGACCAAAAAAAAAAAGCAATATAGACTCAGAGTGCTGAACTGAAACCTGGGTGGGGAGGGGACAAAAGCCAGTGCTGAGAAGAGAGCCATGAGGAGGAGAAAGGAGACAATTTCTAAATTGTATCTCAGATCCTAAGCTGGGAGATAGTCCCAGAGGCTGTGGCAGAAGTGTGGAGGGAAGTTTGTGGATGGTGGAGCTGCTGACAAGGCATTTCATGGATGTCATTGATTTCCTGTGCAGAGGCAGGTGTTTAGACTCTATCACTGTTGGAGAAGGAGAGAAAACACATTGGTTTCTTGTTGGGACCCACCATTCCCTGGACCCTCAAGGAAACTTCCTACTTGCAAGAGAGGTCCCACAGGTCTGGGTAGCATAGGAAGCTGGGAATGGGGAGTAATGTAGTCAAGAGTAACATCTCTAAGAGGAAGGCAAGTCAAGGACACAGGTGTGGGGGCAGGGACATTAGCACTTATGAGCAAAGGAGGGTTCCTTTTGTCAGAGATAGGCAGAGGGAAAGGGAGATTCTACAGCTGGGCCAGATTGAAGGTCTGAGCACAGGGTCTGCATCCTGGGTGCTCCTACCCAGCCAGGCTTGACACCACAACCCAATCTCATGGAGTCATTTGTCAGGCATTTTATTCAGTCTCCATGGCCACTCTGTGAAGTAGGTGTCATCAGCCATCTTTACAGATAACGATGTGACCAGCCAAAGAGGTGAGGGATTTGCCAAATGGCACAGTCTGTGAGAATAGAGCCAAGAGCCAAAGCTCATGTCATCACTGATGTTAAGCTAGAGCCAGCCAGAGAACAAATAGTAGCTTGAAGGAAAAAACTGGTACAAGCTCTCCTAAGAAGCCAAGGCGATATGGAGTGAAAGTGATTGGATGGTGGCCTACAGAACTGCAGCCTCCATTTCCTCCCACTTGGTGGCTGTAAAGTGGACAGCTTGGCTGGTATGTGAAGATGGCTGTGGGCAACAGTGGTAGCCATTGTATCCTTTCCTCCCAGGCTGGCATGATCATAGACAATGGAGTCAAGACTACTGAGGCCTCAGCCAAGGACAAGCGGCCCTTCCTCTCCATCATCTCTGCCAGGTAATAACCTTTGGGACAACCCATCCCTTGGGACCTCTCAGCTTGCTTCCTTGTCTTCTGCTCCTGCCGTGCATTTCTTCATCTAATGAGTGTTTGCTAGTTGGCATTGATCTAGCTGTTGAGATACAGTACTGTGCCAGAAGTCCAAACGAAGTCTGAATTGTAGTCCAAGCTCCAGTAGCCAAAGGGAAACTGAAATTCCTAGCAGTTGCCAGATCCCTTCAAAGAGCCAGGACCATACAAGAGTAGGACTGGCCAGAGCTGTGACAGGCAGGGCTGGGATACAAAGATGATCAGAAAGGAAGCACTCACTGCCATTTTGATGGTAAGGAATCTGATGGCCAGGCTGACAAGTCAAGCCAGAGCTTAGCTGAAGACCAGAGGCTGTTTCTAAAAGGTTATTGCCAAGGCTGAACAGGGTGGCACACACATTTAATTCCATCCAGCACCTAGAAAGCAGAAGCAGAAAGATCTTTGAGTTCAATGTCAGCATGGTCTGCACAAGTGCGTTCTAGGCCAGCCAAGGCTACATAGTGAGAGCCTATCTCAAAGAAAACAAAAAGTTGTCAAAATGTCAGGGTCAGTAGCAAAAGTGGGACCCCTTGTCTGTCTCCTGCAAAGAGCTGGGCCCTAGAGATGGGATATCCTGCCTCTGGGAGAATCTCAGAGTGTTCATGTGAGAGCCGGCATGCCAATGGGTTTCTGTGGAGTCAGAGATATAGCATACAGAGGCCAGAAGGATACCACCTGTGTCTTCCCATGCTCCAGGTACAGCCCGCACCAGGACGCAGACCCTCTGAAACCCCGGGAGCCAGCCATCATCCGCCATTTCACCGCCTACAAGAACCAGGATCATGGAGCCTGGCTGCGTGGTGGGGATGTGTGGCTGGACAGCTGCCGGTGAGTCTGGAATTCAAGGTGACACTGACACAAAAGAGGCTTGATGTTCCTCCCCAGACTGAAGAGTGAGCAAGGCAAGGAGGAGTCTAAATATACTGACATCCAGCTTTCTGTTCTCTCGAAAGACCAGGGCATAGGATGGCAGCAGACAGTGACCAGAGGAACAAAAAAACACAGCTGCATGACAGATTCGCCCATAGTATTGAATGCTGAGTTACTCATGGGGACTCTTTCTTTCATGGCCCATGGCTGGTCAGTGCAGGAAGGGAAAAAGGAGTTATGGTGCTGGGCACTCATTGTGACCCTAACTTTGGTTTTATTTCTTTCTCACCATATTTCTCGAGAATGAAAATTTTTAAAAATGCACACTCCTAGCTCCATTTGATGATAAACTCAGGCTCAGTTAGGAGTGTCTCACATTGCATAGCTTATGAGTGGCAAAAATGAGGACTTGATGCTTTATGCTCTAAGCCCAACAAAAAGGGCCTAAAATATTGATTCATGATGTAAAGTCCCCAGAAGTCTGATGCCAAACATGGTTCTCCTTCTGCAAGGAAAATTATGAAGCTATAATGCACCCTGGCAATGAGGGGGCATCTTCTGTCTTTCACCAGACATTCTAAAGAAGCCCAGAGTCTGGATCACACTAGGGTTGAGGTCCCACAAATAGACAGAGTTGACAGGCTTCAGAACTGACAGAATGGTCTTTCCTGGGACTTTGAGCATTTACCCTGTGTGTTTTGGGGGAATCGGAGCATGGGTGGGAACTTTAGTGTCTCTGGATGCAGGCAAGGATGGAAAAGGGTACTCCTGGAGATGGGAAAATGGAACTCCAAATGGAATATCACACCCCAGTCCAGGTGAGGAGGAATCACAGAAAGGAGAATGTGGATGAACCCCAGCCTTCAGCATAGAGAGCAGGTATGGGTGGGTGGCTGTGTTTTTAGACTGTTGAGATGGAGACGCTCATGAAGTACACAGTAAAAATGTCCCACATCTTCCAAAGGCAAGATAGGACAAATGTCTGGTCAACAGAAAACAGAGAAGGAAGCTATGAGTGTCTGTGAGGTCTCTAGGGTCACAACAGAGCATGAAGGGACTATAGCAAAGCACCTGGAGATACCAGGAAGGAGTAAAAGCTGGGGACGGGGAGAAGAAAAGAGCTAGAGAGCCTGGTACCCATGGTGAGCCTTGGCTGATTGGTGTGAATGGATAGATCTTTGAAGAGGGAAGCACAGTGTGCTTGAAAGGGGGCTGAGCATCAAGTGTGTTGGGAACTGAGGAGCTTGTAGCAACCTAGATCACCCCGTGTGGTTGACACAGAAGGGAATGGGGGATTGGGCCTTCCATGCCAGGGTAAGACCTGGCCTTAGGCTTATAGGAGACATGAAGCCACTGGAAATTCAAGAAGCAGCAGAGGGTGGGTGAAAATAGCACCTGGAGGAGATGAGCCCCTAGGGGTGTCCTGGACAGGAATGGAGAAAAGGAACAAAGGAAGGGAAGGCAACACAGATCCAAGGTCCAGCTCCTTCACGAGGCAGGAGCAACTGCCTCCAGAAACCTGTTCATGCTGACCCTAATGCCAGGCAGCATTTTTGGGGAACCCCTGTGGTCAGCATGGTGTAATTATGAGGTTCCTTCTTGCTTGCTCTTCTCAGGGATAGAACCTCCTTAGCTTTGAGGAAACTTGGAAATTAGCTATTTGAATTTCTTACCATGGCTGAGAGTAGTCCCCACATGGCCCACCTTCAGCCAGTGCTGGCCCTGAGGGTGAGAAATCACTTTCCCTCCATGTCTCCTAATCAACCCCACAGGCTCCAGGGGCTCAGCCAGAGGTAAGCTGGCAAGGGAGGTCTGTGAGGCCCAGCACTCCTGTAGTCAATGCTCCATGCCCCCAAGTGCAGAGTATTGAGGACCCCTGCCAGTGTGGGGTACATTCTCTAGCTCTCCACCAGACCCTCCAAGGAATTCCAAATCTGTGAAGAGGAACCAGAATAGCCATTTTCTGTGTAGAGTGGAAAGTTACGATTTCCTCAGCAAAACTCCTCCCTCAATGTCCACAGTGAGACTCGGACGGAGAAGGGTCTTTCCTCCTACAACCTCACTGACTGTGGAGTGACAGCATGTGCTGACTGTCTGCTCTTGTCCCCAGGTTTGCTGATAATGGCATCGGCCTGACCTTGGCCAGGTAAGAGTTAACTTCCATTGTGAGTGGCTTACTGTGGAAGCTTTTGTTTGGACATCTCACCCCCAACATCTCCTCTCTGCAGTGGTGGAACCTTCCCATATGATGATGGCTCCAAGCAGGAGATAAAGAACAGCTTGTTTGTTGGTGAGAGTGGCAACGTGGGCACAGAGATGATGGACAACAGGATCTGGGGCCCAGGTGGCTTGGACCACAGCGGAAGAACCCTCCCTATAGGCCAGTAGGTTTGCAATGGTGGGAACTGTCAGAGTGTGTGTGTGTGTGTGTGTGTGTGTATGTGTGTGTGTGTGCGTGCGCGCGTGCGCGCACGCGCGCGCACCTTGAGTCACAGCCTGGAAAGAAAGAAGTTAATGGGAGACCTTTATGTGTTGACTCTGGATTTCCTGCACTCTAGCAACCTGAATGAGGATGAGAGATGAGGAGAGAGAAGTCCAAAAATAGTGTAGATTAGATGTCAATAGGTACACAACCGTCAAATGCATGATACTGTCCTAGTCAGTGTTCTCGGGAACATGGTGTCCAGAAGAGGGATTTTGAGTCTTCGTAACAACTTACTTGAAGTCTTTCATTCACTTCTGAGTATGGCAGAGAGGCAATCAGACCAAAGCACACTTACAGGAAGATGAGCAAAGGTGATCAAACCTGCAACCATGCCTCACATAGACTTGAATCTTACACCAAAAGATACACCATCCCTAGGTGGTTGTATCTCAAGGCTGCCACACAGGCAAGAGGCAAGGCTTATTCCAATTAGGCCCCAGAAGTGGTTTAGTTTTCTCTTTGTGAAACTAATAGGTTCAGCTGCTACAATCAGGACAGAAACACACCAACTAAAACTTTCAACCCCAGTGCACATGGGTCTCCCCAAAGATACCCTAGAGGCATACTCAGAGGCATATGCCTGCTCTTCTTTGGCCAAACTGTCAGGAAGGCCTGGCTTCCATTTTAAAGGGTTATAGAAGACCCTTTTATTTCCAAATGAGACTGAGTCTGCATCTCTAGAATTTTTTTCTAGAAGGTTAGCAACCTCCAAGCAGAGGATATTCCAGTAACTTCCAGAGGTGATCTTGTCTATGGTAGCCTGACAGGTTCAGGTAGGTTCCTCACACTGTCTTTGAGGTGAGAGACCTAGAAGGAACCGTGCTGTTTTAATTGAGGCACAGTCTGCCTAAATAGAAGTAGATTAGGATCTGAAGCACATGATTTATGTAGAGCTAGCAAGAATGTGATAACCCTGAGCACCTTAACTGGGAAATGCATGGATGCACTCCATGAGAACCAGGATTCAAGGTGCTGGCGCCATCAGTTACAAACATGAGAATATGGAACCACAAGGGGATTTGAGGGTGAGTGGAGACTTTCTTGTGAAGCATATGCGACAGCTGGGAGCCTGACTAGAAGAGGAGAGACAGCTGGGGACAGCCTCTCTCTGGGGACAGATACTTCATATGCTTCCCTTACTTCTTCATCCCATTGCTTCTTTAAGTTCCTTCTGGAAGAAGATGGAAGGGACCAAGTCATAAGCAGAGACATGGGTATAAGCAAACATGTTAGGCATAGAAAATGGCAAGCCTAGATTTGTGACCAGCCCTGAGAAAGATCACCAAGCAGTCTGACCAGTCCCCTCATGGGCCATGTTTTCCCATACCCTGCTCAAGAGTCTCAAGTAAATGGGAGAGGTGCCTCTGAGGCCCTCCTTACTGCCAGGCAAGGGTGAAGTCTCCATGTCACTAATTCTTCCCTGGTCCCTCCATGTCTCCCAGCTGTCACATCTTCCCACTTCCTTCCTGTTGCTCCTGTGTCAAGCCTTCTCAATGTCAGTCTGTGGCCTTGCTTTTCTAGCAAGAACAGTCTTTGCCTCTGGCAGCCCCTGAAAAGTTACGTTGTCATTCTTTTTAGCATTGCCCATTCTGAGTATTTCTGATCCAATTTCCCAAGCCCAGCACATTGCCGGCGGATAGGCTTACAGAGGATCTTAATCTGATTAAATTGTTATAGCAACTAAAAGTAGGGCGATAATGACTAACAGTGTTCCCCTCCCAAGGGACAGAATATTGGCAGCCTCTTGAAGTATTTACAGTATTTTCCTAGTGACTAGACACATTGATGGGAAGAGTAGAGAAACTGTGTAAACAGAGGTCCCCAAGCCAGCAACTCCACAGACAACTATTTATCTACCAGTCTACCATTCATTCATCCAACTAGCTGTCAATCATAACATTCCTCCATTCATATAGCCACCCACCTACCATCCATACATCTATCTGCCTAATAGCTAGCATCCATCCACCCATCCATCCAACCCGATCCACCCATCCACCCATCCATCCATCCATCCGTTTTTCCACCATCCAGCCAATACATCCCTCATCATCCATTACCCATCTTCAGCAATCATTCTTCATTGACAAAGTGCCCATACATGTCTTCTCAGTGACTTAAGTGACTTAATGATTCCCAGTGGAAGTTGCTGCTGGAGGTGGGGATCGGGGAATGACTTTACTCAGAAAAGCTCTTACCATTCACCTCCAAAGAAGCAAATAGCATGGCATTCATCTGACATCTGACTTCCTTAACTCCCCAGGAATTTTCCGATTAGAGGAATTCAGTTCTATGATGGCCCCATCAACATCCAAAACTGCACCTTCCGCAAGTTCGTGGCCCTCGAGGGCCGGCACACTAGTGCCTTGGCCTTCCGCCTAAACAATGCCTGGCAAAGCTGCCCTCACAACAATGTGACCAACATTGCCTTTGAGGATGTCCCGGTAAGTATGGTACTAGGACAGGCTTCTAGCATAGCCAGGCTTTGAATGATGACTCACATGTCCCCCACAGCTTGGAGATTGAGCTGTTGCCACCACCACAAGGGTGGAATAGCTTCCCCAAGTTGGCTGGGCCATGTCCCAGTTTGCTTTCTGCCCAAACTGGAAAAGTACAAGTTCAGGTCACAGAAAAAGGTCAAGTCTGGGTGAAAGCCCACTGGCCTTTGATCTGTACCTCAGTAAGGACCTAGAGATGAAGTCAGGGCTCTGAAGCTACTCCTCCAGACCCTTGCCACACTAGATGTTGTGACCAGGCTACGTGAGTTGGCACAGCTCATCTCACAACTCCAGCAATGTCCAAGGGAAGTCTTCTGAAGACATCGTTTAACTCCATCCTGAACATAGAATGCAAACAGGGGCCTCCTGGGTGTAGATGATGAGATGGAGGAGCTGAGGTCAGGAGAGCAGGCCAAGGCTGCCTGTGGGGCCTGCTACTTCTCACTGTCTGTAACCTGTGGTCTCCCAAACCTTTCCCACTTCCCACTTCTTCCTTTGTCCTCCTCCCTCCTTGGGTCTTCCTCCTTTCTGCCCAGTCACTGGTACGACCTCTGAGAAGACAGGGAATTTAAGTTACTTGATTTCTTCACTCAGACCCCTGAGGGCCCTGAGAGTCAGTTACAGAGATGGCCAATGGCTTGCACTGTGAGGCTGCCCTCCTTAAATCCAGCACACACACTCACAAGCTCATGCACATTCTCACACAAGCACACTTTGCACACTGTTGGTACACACTTTCTCATACAAGCACTCACCCCCATTCCTGTCCAGTTCATTCATCAGAACACTCATATTCACTCACTCCTAAGCCCCTCCTCCACCAGACCAATCTCCAAGGCCACCTACTGCAGCCAGACGTATAGTGAGCAGAGCCAAAATTGTATGCTAGTTTTCAGAGTTGAGGCACAGTGACACTCTGACTGTTTTTTAAGTTCCATGACATGGTCAGCTATGTGGTTTCCTCTAGCACCCAAGGGCAGCCTCCGTCTGGCTGCTTTGTAATGTCAGCGGAAATTGGAAACTTTGCCCTGGCCTGATGACGGCTGCAGTTTCCATTCACCTTCAGGACAAGCCTTATTTTCCTGGGCTCTGTTCAGATTACTTCCAGAGTGTTCTTCGGAGAGCCTGGGCCCTGGTTCAACCAGCTGGACATGGATGGGGACAAGACATCTGTGTTCCACGATGTCGATGGCTCTGTGTCGGAGTACCCTGGCTCCTACCTCACTAAGGATGACAACTGGCTGGTTCGACACCCAGACTGCATCAATGTCCCAGACTGGAGAGGGGCCATCTGCAGTGGGCGCTATGCACAGGTGGGGATGCCACCCCAAGCATTTGCATACTCACTTACTCACTCACCCATTCATATGACAAGGACTCAGAGAGCCTGGTGTGTGTCCAGCTCTGTGTTGGGCTAAGAACAATGCAGGGTTTTCCTCCCTTATGTTTTCTGTCCCTCGCTCCCATTCCACAGGATTTTCACAGTCAACACATGGCACTGGGTAATTACATCAGGTTGTGCACTTGCTAACCGTTGACCTCCAACTCACACCCTCGGAGCCTCAGTGTCCTTGTGTATGAGCTTGAGCTAAAAGCTGAACTTTAATGATGTTCTGGGAATGATTTCAGATGATACAAATAAAATCCTCCTGCCCTTTTTTTAGGAATAGAAATATAATTCGAGCTATGACTTTCCTGGTAGCCATGTTAAAAGGCAAAAAGAAATAAGAAATTAATTCAATAATATCTTACACATACTCAAAATGCCACCCTTTCAGCATGTAGTTAATAAAAAAATTATTGATTGATTGATGTTGTGATTCAGATCTGCATTTTGAGATTTAGATTAATTAAAATAGCATTTTAAAACTGGTTCCTGGGCCACACTGTCCACATGTCCAGGACTCAGTGGGCACACATGACCCATGTCTAACCCATGAAAACAGTGTTATACAATGTTTGGAGTGTAACAATCTAAAATAATTGCCATCACCCTGAGCCATTACTGCCATTGCTTGGATGAATGACTGAGAAGGAATGAATGAATGTATGAATGAACGAGGACAAAGAGGCCAGAGGAAACTGTCAGATTAGGAAGAAAGTACCTGAGCCATGTGAGCTAGAGGAGAAGGAAATATGTGATGGCCATGTCTTCCTGACAGTCCTACAATCAGGCATTCTTATTACCACAGTGGACATCAGAAAGCTTACAAGATACTTTGTGTGTCTTTTGATGCATTAGACAGCCCTGTAAAATGGACAATGTTGGAGTTTCTCTTTTTATCTTACATAACATATATATATGTACATATATATATATTATACATGTGTAACACACATATAATACACATACATATATATATGTGCTCACACACACATATAAATATATATATATATATATATATATTTATATGTGTGTGTGAGCACATATATAAGCACTTTCCATGTTCCTTCCAAAGGCAAATAATTACATTTTGGTTTAATGGTCTGTCTTGGTCTTAGCTGCAGAGATGTCATTTTTTGAATATAGGATGAGCCAGAGAATTGAACAGGGTGTGTGTCTGAGGGGTATGTGCTAGTGATGTATGCATATATGTATATTATGTGTTTGTGTGTTTTTCCCTGAGTGTACACATGTAGAGGCTAGAAGTTAATAATAGATGCTTTCCTCTACTAGTGTCCACCTTGTTTTTTGAGATAAGCTCCCACACTGAACCTGAAGTCACTGTTTAATGAGGCTAGAAGTCCAACAAGCTCCCAGGATTCACCTGCTTCTGACTACCCCCAGTGCTGGGGTTACAGATGCATGCTGTCATGCCAGCTTTGACATAGATCCTGGAGAGCCATGCAAAGGTTCTTATGCTTTTATACCAGACATTTTACACACTGAGCCTCCCTAGTCCCCAGAAGAGTATCTCAAATAGAGCTTGGCTCTTTGCTCCTGAGAGACTTAGTGGCTGGTAGTCTATTTGTAAGTGTTTTTCTTTGAATAAGACAACATACTCTCATCTGGAGGATACTGACACAATACTACCTGGCTCATGGGCTGAGAGGCAGAGAATGAAGTTGGGTATCACCTTCAAACAAACTCTCATAGGCAGTGAAGGGCCAGTTGTATCTGCAGTAGAATTTGAGTACAACCCTTCCCCTAGGCCTGATGCTACAGGCCCTGACATCTCAACTGCTAGAGAGGTGGAGGCAGGAGGATTACAAGTTCAATAGTTTCAAGACCAGCTTGGGTAGGCAACTTAGTAAAATCTTCCTTGACTCAAAGAGTAAAAAGAGGCTTAGGAAAATAGCTAGTGGTGGAGTGTTTGCCTAACACCTATGAAGTTTAATGCCCAGTATGAAAAGAAGAAAGAAGGAAGGGTGCTATAATAAAGGGAGAAATGAAGGAAGGAAAGAATTAGGAAAAGAAGAAGGAAGGAGGGACACCTCTTCCCCTTTCTTGTCCTTCCACACATGCCTCCATTACCACGTAACCAGCAACCAACTCCTGGCAGTTCCACTGGTCACTCCTCAGCAGAGGTCATGTTTTCTGGAAATCACAGAAAGTGACTGCTGAGCGTAGTGCAGCCTACACTGTGTCCACCAGCAGAGAGAGACGTCCCCTTATTTGGTCTTCCTTTCATTCTGGCTCTGTATAGAGACAGTGGCTCTGAAAGTGCCCTCGGTGATCAGATGTTAACCAGACACTCCAACACAATCCCCTCTAACAGTCACTTTGTACGTTTCCTTTTTGGGTTTTCAAAGATGTACATCCAGGCCTACAAAAGCAGCAACCTGCGCATGAAGATCATCAAGAACGACTTCCCTAGCCATCCCCTCTACCTGGAGGGGGCCCTCACCAGGAGCACCCACTACCAGCAGTATCAGCCTGTCATCACCCTGCAGAAGGGGTATACCATCCACTGGGACCAGACAGCCCCGGCTGAGCTTGCCATCTGGCTCATCAACTTCAACAAGTGAGTGAGAACAGCCAGGATAACCTGACGCAGGACAGTGGCACTGGATGAGCTCAGGCAGGGATAGTGAGAACACCTCATGGCTAGTGAGGACCTCAGGATGGTCCCTGTCACTCCTGCAGGATGTACCCAGAGAAGTTCTCATCACCCAGAGTTGAGAATCCAAGGACTCAGGATGTATACGGGGCCCACCTTGGGCAGAACAGCTAACCTCTTTGGAAGCTTGGGGGTGATTATTGCCTCCCAAGTGAACAAAGAATGTGTAGTGGGCTAATGAGTATATGTTAACTATCACCCAGCTCCTAACATTAAAGTAAACGGGGAAACAAACCCCACAGGGTGCTGCTGCTGTTATTTATGGAGAAGGGAACAAAGTTCTGTGGGGGGCGTTTTAATTACTTTTCTGTTGCTGTGGTCAGATATCCTAACAGAAGCAACTTAAGGAAGAAAGGACTTACTTTGGCTCAGGGTTTGGGGCTAAAGTCTGTCGTGGTGAGAGCATCATGTTGACAGGAGCTTGAGGCAGCTGGTCACATTGCAGTCAGGGAGCAGAGGGAGATGCATGCTTCTTTTTATTTAGTCCAGGACCTCAGCCAATGGAATGGTGTTACCCACAGTTAGGGTAGCTCTCCCCACCTCAATTAATCTAATCAAGAAAATCTCTCATGGGCATGGTGAGAGCCTAGCCCAATCTAGATAATCCCCCCCCCAGCATGCCCTGGAGGGTTACGGCCTTTCCTGGGTGGTTCAAGGACCTATCAAGTCTGTCAGTGTGAACCATGGCAGAGGGGAAACAGTTAGATTGAGGGCATCAGATCAGCTGTGCACATTCACATTCAAGCATTTCCTACATGTAGCATGTGCTCATCACTGTATTCCTGAGACAGACCATTGCAGAAAGGAGGCTGAAGCTGGCCCTCCGATCATGCTTTATCATGCTCTATCACGCTCCCTCAGTTGCTTGTGCTCTTTAAGGATAGCGCAGTTGAAAGAAAACCATTTTTCCAGCCAAAACCCATGCAGAGCACCCCAGATCAACCCTAGAATGCTCATAGGTGACTCATCCCGATGGCCCTCCTCAGCAGCTGGTGGTCACCGTCCATCCTTTTCTCCTTGAACATTCTGCAACTTAGTAAATATTCTTCAAAAATCTCCCACTTAGAATTCTTTGGACACTCTTCCTGTGGTGTGCTCAAAGGCACCCGGGGCCTGGAGACCCTTGAACTAACTCCACCTTATTTTCTAGGGGCGACTGGATCCGAGTGGGGCTCTGCTACCCAAGAGGCACCACCTTTTCCATCCTTTCAGATGTTCACAATCGCCTGCTAAAGCAAACTTCCAAGACCGGGACCTTTGTGAGGACCCTGCAGATGGACAAGGTGGAACAGAGCTATCCTGGCAGGAGCCACTACTACTGGGATGAGGATTCTGGGTAAGGATGTTCCTCTAGTCTGCAGAAATGGGGCTCAGTGCACTGTGTATCCTGGGTCTTCCCATAACTCTGAGAACTACAGTATAGTTGATACTAATAAACGCAGGATGCTTTCCTAGGCACTTTGACCCTGGCACTAACCATGTTCTCAACCACTTACTGTAGCCAAGCACTGGGATGGACATAAACTTTCTTTTAAATCTGCAAGTGGATTGTAGGGGAAACGTCAGAAAAAAAGTAAAGGGAGTAAGGAAAAACAAATGTGGTATGTTACCCAAAGCCCAAAGGGAACAAACAGTATTCGAATTTGAAGGTGGGAAAAGAAGACACTGGAAGAACAAGAGTGACTTGGTCAGGGGTCACAGCACAAACCTACCCCAGCTGGATCTGAAGCCCCCCAACTTCTGATGACCTTCACCGGGTCCTGGTCAACAGAGACACAACAGAAACACGGTGTCTGCACAAAGACACTAGGGAACTCTTTGGTCCTTTCCTCTGGAAATAAATCCAGGGCCAGGGAGACAGTTCAGACAGCCAAGTACTTGCTGTGCAAACATGAGGACCTGAGTTCAGCCCCCTAGAACCCATGTAATAAAGATAGGCACAGTGGCATGCATTTGAAAGCCCAGAAATAGAGAGGTAGAGACACACAGATTCCTTGGGCTTGTCAGCCAGCCTAGTCTGCAAAGTCCAGGTATAAACATGAGTTCCTTTCTTAAGATTTAATATGGACAGCTCCTGAGGATGACACCAAGAGCTGACCTCTGGTCTGCATAAACGCATGTGCCTGTATACACATGCATGTGTACACACACACTCCTACATACAAATGTGCACACACACACACACACACACACACACACACACACACACACACACACACACACACCAGACTAACAACTCAGGAAGTCCAGTGTGCCCAGAGTGATGAAGCTGGCCACAGAAGCCTTCTAGGGAGAAAGGTGAAAGGTCATTTAATGGGCATTTTGCTTTTCTTATGAGGAGAAAACAGAGGCTTATCTTTTTTTTTAAAGAAAACTCAACTTGCCCTGACATTCAGCTCACTAAAACACTCATGGGTTACAGATGAAGGCCAGAAGTGTGATCTGTAAACAAGGAGTGTGGGGTGGATGGTCTCTCAAATTCCCCTTGCTCTGATCTGGCAACAAGGATATCTTAACCATTATTAAGTTCAATCTAGGAGCTAAGGGGCCATGCCAGCTTCTGTCCCTCAGTCCTTGACATGGATTCTGATGGAGAAGGGAGACTTGGTTTGATGTAGCCATGGGCAACACTTCACAGGAGGTATCATCTCTGCAGCCTCCCTACCATGCAGAACATACAGATGACACTGGTTCTGTGCTTGACCTTGAACTGGGGACTCCTGTGTCTGACACTTTCCATTTCAGTCGGGGATCACTTGATGCCAGGCACAAAGATAGGTTTTGTTAATGTGTATGTTTGGCTTTTGTGTTTTTGAGACAGGGTCTCACTAGATAGCTCTAGAGGGATGACCAGAATTTACTGTGTAGACAAGGCTGGCCTCAAACTCAGAGATCCACCAGCCTTTGTCTTCCAAGTGCTGAGATTAAAGATGCATGCCACCACACCCAGCAAAATAAAGGTTCTTGCTTTGTAGTGACTTGAAACAGGGCAAATCCAAGATGTAGCTCATTCCCTCAAATTCTCATACACACGAATGTGTGCATGTATGCCAAGCCTCTTGTGTCAGGGTCTTCTTTCAAGCTTCCTTCTTTTCTCAATCCCCTGGGAGGGCCATGGCACAACACAGTCACAGCAGCCACCACTCACATGCCCTTACAACTCAATTACCAACTAGTAAACGACAAGACCCACAACGTTCTTTATTCTAGCTCATGAGAAAGTACCTCCCTATAGCCAACAAACAACCTATTGAGAGTCCAGTGTGAGCCCCTACTCTGGAGTAGAGCAGGCTGTGGCACAGGGGCCCAAATCCAAGTGGGCTCATTAAAAGTTGGCTCCCCAAAAGAAAAGAGTCAGACCTTATCATTCGATATTACAGAGAAGACTTAAGAGCATTTTTCTGAGATGACAGAACAACAATAACAAATGCCAAGTTAGTTCTGTGGCAGCCTCATAATCTGCCTCCGTAGAACATGGGTTAGCTTCCTTCCCAATAGTTATTATTAGAATAAGTGATGGCTTGAAGACAAGTAGAGTTAGGACCTGTGATGAGGTGGGAAAATCCCCAGCTCTATTACTCCCCAGTGGTGCAGTCACTTCTCTGAGACAATTTCTCCATCTAGCAAGTCAGTGTGATAATGGTACATAGTGGATAAAGTTGACGGCTAAATGAGGTGATACATACAATTGTATGACATAGTTAGTCCTCAGAAAATATTTGCCAGCATTCTCAGCTCCTTCTTGAATACATCCATAAATGTAAAAACTGCATATGACTCTCTAACAGGCACAGTGCCATGACTTAAAGCTCTCAGGATGTAACCTTGGTGACCAGCAGATTTTTAGATTTGTTTGTTCATTTGTTTACTTGAGACATGGTCTTGCTAGGTAGTCTGCCTGGCCTTGACTCAATATATAGACCAGTCTGGCCTTAAATTTGAGGTGACCCTCCCACCTCTGTTTCCCAAGTACTGGGATGATAGGTGGGTGCCACCATGCCTGATTTGGGTGAGAAGGAGGTTCTAAGTGTCTCATAGGAACACCCAGATTCCTTCTGTGCATAGGTTGCTCTTCCTGAAGCTAAAAGCCCAGAACGAAAGGGAGAAATTTGCCTTCTGCTCCATGAAGGGCTGCGAGAGAATCAAGATTAAAGCCCTGATTCCAAGGAATGCGGGCATCAGCGACTGCACAGCCACTGCTTACCCCAGGTTCACCGAGAGGGCCGTGGTGGATGTGCCGATGCCCAAGAAGCTCGTCGGAACTCAGCTGGTAAGTGGCCATGGCAGGCTGGGCCCTTTGCCTCCAGGGGGTTCAGATCTAGCTGAGCTCCTCTCTGGACACCTACTCAGCACCATGTCTCAGCTCTGAGTTAAGACCCAAGGCACATGAGGAGAAAGACCACCCAGGCCTCACAGCCTCACTACTGTTCTATGTTTGTTTTTCAGAAGACAAAGGACCACTTCCTGGAAGTAAAGATGGAAAGTTCCAGGCAGCACTACTTCCACCTTCGGAATGACTTGGCTTATATTGAAGTAAGCATGGGTTCTGCAAGTCCAAGGCTGCTCACTGAGGCAGAGTGGGTGTGTTATTTACTTCTGTCTCACTGTGAACACGGAACCTGATAACTTATGGGAGGAGAGATTTATTTTGGCTCATGGTTCCAGGGAGCTTTTGTCCACTGTAGTGAGGAAGGTATGACAGCACAAGCCAGTTCACAGAGACCTGCTGTTATGGTTACGTTTCCATTGCTGTGACAGAATACCCTAACCTAGGTAACTTAAAAATGAAAGTGTTTAATCTAGGGCTTACCATTTCAGAGGGCTAGGGTCCATGACAATGGAAAAAAAAAGGTATGACGGTTGGAACATCTGAGAGCTTCCATTTTGATCCACAAGCAGGAGTCAGAGAGAGACACTGGGAATGGTGGGAGTCTTTTAAGACCTCAGTCTATCCCTAGTGACACACCTCCTCTAACAAGGCCATGCCTCCTAGTCCTTCCCAATCAGTTCCACCAAATGGGGACCAAGCATTCACATATTTGAACCTATGGAGGGACATTCTCATTAAAACCACCATACCTGCACATATGGCAGAGGCTGTTGACCTGGCAGAGGACCAGGAAACCAAGAGAGAGGCAGAAACTAGGGGACAGGAATAACTGTTAAAGACCAACTCATAGTAATTGACTTCCTCCGACTGGATTCTACCTCCTGAAGGCTCCACATATTCCTGAAGTGTCCTCACCAGGTGGGGAGCAAATGTTTGAACATGAGCCTGTGGGGGCATGTCGAGTTCAACTATAACAGGTGGTGTTGGGATAAGTTGCCTAAGTTAAAGCAAAGGAAAGTTATTCTCGTTCAGTTCAGGAAGCAAGCAAATTTCCTCAGACTTCCAGTGGCTCTAAGGACCTTTGGATTAGAGATACTTCACTGACATCTTTGTTCCATCTTCATGAGGCTCCCCTCTCCATTGAGCCTATCTCACATCTCCCTCCTTTCTTCCTAAGGGACCCCCATCATTGGATTAGTGCCTGCCCCAAACATTCTGGATGCTCCTGCCCTAATTCTGTCCCATCTGTATGTCATTAAGACATCTTCAGAAACACTGTTTCTAGATAAAGTCAAACTCACAGGTTCTGAGTGGACATATCTTTTGGGGGCTTCACTATTCAGACCCACGGATAGCATGGGGAAGTGATGTGAAGGGGGTCTCATAAATTGAGCAGCCGTGTAACCAATCTCTGTCTTTAGTGTCTACATAGGAACCATCCAGGAAGGAGATCCTGGGGCCTCAGATACCCCAGCATCCTCACACATCCCTGTTTCTTTGGCCCTGCAGGTGGATGGGAGGAAGTACCCTTGCTCAGAAGATGGCATCCAGGTAGTGGTGATTGATGGGAACCGAGGTCATGTGGTGAGCCATGGGAGCTTCCGGAATGCCATTCTGCAGGGTATACCTTGGCAGCTCTTCAACTACGTGGCAGCTATCCCTGACAAGTGAGTCTATGTCTCAGCTTCTGGTCTGTCCAGTGACACCATAGATTCCTGGCTAGGGCCCTATACCTCATGCCCAACTCCTCATGATACTTGGCAGCTGGGATGATCTGTGCCTACAAATGGTGCCCCCCCCCGGATGGGGAGACCTTCATGCCTGCTGATGCTAATGATAGAGGCAGGGCTGCTGTGGATGTAGGTCAGGCTGAAGCACAGAGACTGCTGCCTCACACCTTGGAAGGCTGCCTGACCCTCTGCCCCCGTCTGAGATGATCTCATCCCCACCCACACCTCCAATAGGATCCAAATGCTGGTGGCTACTGAAGTTCTCCAGCTTGGATCTCTTTCCTAAACCCCAAATGCTCCTATCCAATTGTTGCCTAGAGGTTGCCACCTAGATGTCTCTCATGGAACTAAATTCTCAACCCATTGTCTCTTCCTTTTATCTTTGAATCCTCCAGATCACCCACTCCTTCTGTTTTTTTTTCTAAACCATCATCCTTCCAGACATTTAGATCAGAATCTGAGCTTCATGCTGAATATCTTTCTTTCACCCCATATTCTAACACATCTAGCACACAGTCCATTGCCCTCCCTGGTGCCCTTAAATGTTAGGATCCTCAGTAGCCTCTCCTCACCTCTTCCCGAGTCTAGCACATCTGTATCCTCCTCCCCGATGTCTTTTTCCATCCATCCATCTTTCTCACTGGAGCACTACTTGAACCAGAACTGGGACCTTTGACAAATGCCCTATCAAGGAATCAGACTTCTTGATGTTGGCTCCGTAATGGACTTAACTTATGCTTGTTGAGTCCCTGAACTGTAATGTGGGTGTGGAAATCTCTCTGTAGCCACAGGCTGGTGGAAAAAGGCTTGTGCAATTCATGTGGCACCTGTGATACCTAGGTGCTTTGTAAATAGTTAAGGAATGAAGACAAGCGCCCTTCTGGACATACTTTTAGGGCTCTGGGGGAAGTGGCTCCATGTGCGATTCTGGCAAACAGGTTTTGCTTGGTCACATTTTATATATGTTCTTCCCACATTCAGTGTTCCTTTCCCATCATATTTGCATGCATGTATGTGGAAGCGAATGGGTATAGGTGTAAATGGGTGTACACATTTGTGTGGAAGCCAGAAGACAACCTTGGGTGTCATTTTTAGGCACTTGTTTGTTTTTGAGAAAAGGTCTCTCATTGGTTTGGAACTCTCCACGTAGGTGAGGATGGCTGGCTAGCAAGCCCCAGGAATCTGATGCTTGTCTCCATTTCCCTAGTAGTGAGATAACAGACACAGGTGCCACTACACCTGGCATTGTTTTACATGGGTTCTGTGGGTCAAACTCAGGTCCTTGTGTTTGCAAGACAAGCACATTAGCATCGGGCTGAGCCAGCTCCCCAGCCCCACGCTTTAGTTTTCATGTGCAGATTCCTGCAGAAGAATGTGACTTTCCACATTGGGAAAAGTACATTTATCATCTAGATATCAGTAGGTTTCTGGCCTTTTTTGGCCACAGGACTTTTTCTTGAAATGAACCAGAGTGCAGAAGCTGGGAGTGAGAAGTAGCCCCCAGACATGTTCTGTTTGGAGTGGGGTGTGGGGCTTCTTGCAGCCTTTGCACATTCCTTGGATAAATGGAGCCTGCCTCCCCTCAGTCAGTCTTTGACTAACAGTCAGTCTTTAACTAACTCTCTGTGGATACACAGAGAGGAATGGGTACCTCCAACCCCTCGCTGGCCTCTTAGGAAGCAGCAATTGTGTGGGCCTGGAGAGGTGCATCGGTTCTGTGACTCAGACCCAGCCTAGGCCTATTCCACCACCACCACCCTGCCCCCAGCCACCCCCAGGATCACCACTGGCCCTAGAATCCCAGCAGCTCACACCACTGACACTGAGAATGGCTTCCAGGAGCCCTCTCTGACCTTCCACCTGTGTGAGAGTCCCTAATGTAAGCATACCAGGAGGCTGCATCTCCCTGTCCCACTTCTGTCAGCTGACCCAGATGCCACCCTGAGTTATGACCTTGCTTTGAGTTCACTGCCACAGGCCTTCAGTGTTTATTCTGAGTCTGAACAATGGGGAAATTTCCTCCTGGATGTGTTCGCAATGAATCCTTTCTCATTAATGGGCCTCGCCTTGCCAATCCCTTGGGCCTCCCCCTCTTAGCCTTCTTAAAGAGCCCAAGACAGCCTCCCAGCTGCCTTTCCATTTGCCTGTATTGCACACTAGCTTTCCTTCTGCTCCCAGTGGGACAAAATTGGGGGTGATAGCAAGTTCCAGGATCCCATACAGTTTTTCCATGTCTGGACTGTGGTCTGTGGTTACAGAATTGCATTGAGTTGGGAATTGAAAGCCCCATGGAGTTTCTACCCTGTTTCTGTTCTGAGGGAAGTGCTCACTCCCATGTCTGGCCCAGCATGAGTCTGTCACTACAGAGGCTGTTTTCTTAGCACTGGGGAATAAATACAGCCCAAAGCAAGAAGAACAGACTGCCCACTCCCCACCTAGACTTTTGCTAATTGGGTCCTCTGGCTTCTGCCGCCTGCCCTCCAGAGCAACTCCTCTGGGAAGCCCTCACAGATAATATATAAATGGTCAATCTCCCATTGACAACACCTTGCCTGATGAGAAAGTGTGGTGACACACAACATACAACATTCTGGAAATGCAATGACTACACAGTGTCCTTCCCAGAATGCTCTCAAGCTGGGCCACACTCTTCCTGCAGCTGAGAGGAGGCTGGGCTGTACAAAGCCCTGTACCATCCACAGAAACCACTTACACACACACACACACACACACACACACACACACACACACACACACACACACCCTGGCTCCACACTTGCCATGCAAACATTAGGACCTGCACTTAGGTTCCAACACCAGTGTAACAGGCTAGTCATGGCCACACTTGTGCCTGTAACCTGTGGGAGACAGACAGGAGGACTGCTCAGGTTTTCAGGCCTCCAACCTAGCAGAAGGTTCAGTGACTCTGTCTCAAGGGAATAAGGTGGAGAATGATAAAACAGGACACCTGACATCCGCCCCTGGCCTCTACATGCACACTACACACAAAGACCCACACACAAAGAAAGGAAGAAAAGAAGAAAAACATGGGCTCCACTGGGATCCTAGCATGGGCATGTCACTGTCCTTACAAAATCAGCCGAGATCTCGTGGGGACTAAGCTTGTAGGTCAGAAGGCCTGCTATGAGTGGGAGGCATGGTCCTTATGAACTCCCAAGTACAGCCACCGCAGCAGGTCTCCAAGGCTCCCTGCTGTCAGGCACTCATGATGGCTTTACAGTTTGATGGCTGCTCCCTCCTGTTCCCTTGTGCCTCTATTCCCATTCCCTCTTTGCTCCCTTCTAACTGTCTTGGCTTTTTCTATCACCACATTTCTATTGGCTTTTATAATCCCAAGCATAGCTGAGATTACTTGAATGAAGAAGTACATATTAGCTGGGCATGATAATGTATGCCTACAATCCCAGCACTGGGGAAGCAGAGACAGGTGGGTCTCTATGAGTTTTGAAGCCAGTCTGATCAACATAGCAAATTCCAGACCAGCCAGGGTCACATAGTGATATCCTATCTTTAAAAAAAAATAAAAATCAGAAAGAAGGAAAACGGGGAGGGAGAAAGGGAAAGAAGGAAACAGAAATGCATAACTATGCACAAAGAAATGAAATAGTATTGAGCTTTATGAACAATTGTCTTAGTTAGGGTATTTATTGTTGTGAAAGACACCATGACCACAGCAACTCTTATGAAGAAAACATTTAATTGGGTGGCTTGTTTATAGTTTCAGGAGTTCCGCCCATTATCACCATGTCAGGGAGCATGGTGGTGTGCAGGCAGGTGTGGTGCTAGAGGTATAGCTGAGAGACTTACATATTACAGACAACAGAAAGTCCACTGCCACACTGGGTGGTATCCTGAGCATTGGAAATCTCAAAGCCCACCCTCACAGTGACACACTTCCTCCAACAAGGCCATACCCACTCCAACAAAGCCACACCTTTTATTAGTGCCACTCCCTGTGAGATTATGGGGGCCAATTACATTCAAACAACCACATTAATGTATCTCGAGTGGAAATGCAATGTCTTAAATAAAACTATTTTGTATGGGGGGCGCTGTAAAGTCACACTGTGAAGTCGCACTGTGAGCCCCAGCACAGAGTCTGGTATAGCATCCTGAGATAGCATGCTCCTCACACATACTCTGTCCTGCTTGTGGACATACATGTAAAAGCAAGGAGCCCTATCTAGGCTTGAGTGGTCAGGAACACCAGATGTGGGCAGATGTTGGGGAATACTGGTCACTGAAATGAAAGAATATGTTGGATAAGACAAATGGAAGGATATCCTTTCTCAGATCCCTGGCCAGGCCTGGGCACTGACACTTCAGGTTCTACCCAAGGCCAGCATCCCTCCCACATACCCCTCACTGCAGTTTCCTCTCATTCCTGTCATCTGACCATTTCCTTTTCCCTCAGTTCCATCATTCTTATGGCATCGAAGGGCAGATATGTCACCAGAGGTCCATGGACCAAAGTGCTGGAAAAGCTTGGGGCAGACAAAGGTCTCAAGTTGAAAGGTAAGTCAGAGTGAGGTGTAAGCTGACCTCAGAACCAGGATAGATGGGGTGGGGATACCATTATCCTGCTGCATCCATGACACTCTTTCCCACTAGGCTTGGGTCCAGCCCCAGAATCCTCAGTGTAGCCAGTGGCCTCTTGGCCTGGTGCCACCTGCTTACCATCCCTGCACTACAGCACATTCTCTTGTGACCAGACACTGGAAGAATACTTCTAAAGCTATTTATCCCTCTACTCCACAAGTGGTCCTTTATGCAGCAAAAGCATCATCAGAAACTGCCTTTGTCTGAGTATTCAGCCTGGCCAAGGGCCTACATCCTCCTCATAAGTCCAGCTGATGTCTGCTTTTGTAGCATCTATTACATTTTGAAAAAGACAGGGAAAGAAGAGAGAACTAAATCCCAGAGACTCCCCATGCTTGTTTAAGGTCACACAGCTCTTCTGTGATGAAACCCAACCAAGACTTCCTGGATATGCTGGGTAAAGCTAGCCAGACATAAATATCCACACGATGCTCATTTGTCCTAGATTGTTCAGAGCGAGACCACAGGGAGGTTTAGAGAGAGGAAGCAGATGTGTGAATGGTGACAACCATGATTGCTACCATTTGATGCCAGCCTTGAACCTTGCTGAACTTTTAATAATTAGCTCATGCATTCACAAATAACTTGAACAGCAGGCATGGTTCCATCCACAGAAGACGAAGAATTCAACAGTTGCATAGTAAGATGCTGCTTAGATATGGACCCTTGCCTTCCTGAGCCAGGTCCTGACTGTGTCCTGATTATAATGAACATCAAAAACAAGAGGCCATTATGCAGATATTTACCCAATGCAGCAGCCAGAGAAAAATCTGGAAAGATACAAGCTTGTCACAGCAGTCAGGAGAGAAGAGAGAGAGAGAGAGAGAGAGAGAGAGAGAGAGAGAGAGAGTATTGAGGTCCTTTCTTTGCATCCCAGGGCTATTTTCAGATTTCTATCTGTTAAGATGCTATTGCCAAAGACTCAGATATGCAATGACCAGAGTCAAGTGGTCCTTCCCTCCTAGAGCCACAAAGTGACAGAGCTGAGGATGAGATCTTGAAGACAAATGTCACCCGGTTTCTGGGGGCCATAAGTCAGCTGGAAGGCAGGCGGGAATCTTACTAGCACTCTCCCCTCCCAGTCCACCCTGTCTCCTGCTGTGCATAGCTCTCCTGTAACATACAGAGTCTCTACCCTACTGAGACTGGAGTGATACCTACAAGCCCCATACAAAAAGATGCCCAATCCCAGCACCAGCTGGTCTGAGAGCTTACCTAAGAGAGAAATAGCCCAATGGAGCTGGGAAGGGATTGCCCTATCAGGCAGAGGATGCTGAAGGGGAGTGCTGGGGTATGACAAGCAGCTTCTCTACTAACCTCATTTTCATCCCCTTGATCCTTCACTTTACAGAAAAAATGGTATTTGTCGGCTTCAAAGGCAGCTTTCGACCCACCTGGGTGACTCTGGAGACTGAAGAACACAAGGCCAAAATCTTCCAAGTGGTTCCCATCCCTGTGGTGAGGAAAAAGAAGTTATAAGGACAGTTGCCACTTGTTACCACCCTAGGCTGGACTCCTACAGAAGCCAGGGACAGGATGGCTGGGTCCTCTGGTTTTCAGCCCCACTGGCCTAAGGGACAGATATCAAAGACCTTGGTGCTGCCACCTGCCCCTACTCCAGTCTACCCGCAGCAACCTGGGCAGTGCTGGCTGATGCTACAACCTCCTCTTGGGTGCTTCTCTCCTGTCTGTGCCTCATCAGTAGAGGCATGGGGACCATACAAAGAGACCTGGGTTGTGCTGGCATCAAGTGGCTATTTGGGCAGGAATCTGAACCCAGATAGAAAGTAGTCCAGATGAGGGGACCACTCACCGATTTTCACAGTCACTTGCAGACACATGAAGTGGCAGATGGAGGGAAGGCCATCTTTACTCCTGTGAGGGCAGGGCTTCTTGGGAGTAGGAGCTGGCATACAGACAGAGCTGGCCAGGGTGGCAGACTGTGCTGGGGAGGAGATGGAGTCCTCTGTCTGGAGGGGCTCCCTTTTAGAGAGAATTCAGCTGGGCACACTGGAGTGGGGGCCCTTCCTGGGATGGCAGTGTTTTTCTCTGTGCCTAGAAGTAGAAGTAATCATTGTAGCTGGCATCTCCACTATGAGTGCCCTTGATACAGGGGATAGAGAGGTGAGAGCTCACACTCGGGGGCCTTGTGTCAGCAGATGACAGGCAGCCAGGTCTCGGTACACTCAGATACAAGGCTGAGAGTCCAGACAGAAGTGACGCAGTTGACCAGTGGTAGCTCAGAGGAGGGGAAGTTCACATCACCCAGGCACATGGGGGAAGACTTCTTCTGGGATGCTGTGGTACTGGCAGGAGTGAAGGACAGAGCTGGTAGCGAGACATGAGGTGGCCTCTGGCATGGTTTCCTGCCACTACCTGCGTCTGAGTCACTGCAGGTCACCTTTGGCCTCCACAGCTGACCCACTTGTGATGGAGAAGCAAGGTTGGCAGAGAAGAAAAAGGGTTGAGCTACGATGTACAGAACCTAGTGCAGGTTGCTCTCCAGCCAGTCCCCTGTAACTCTGAGAGAGGGTGGAGTGAAGTTCACACATCTGAGGCTCTATAATGGGCCTCTGGTACACTTCAGCCAAGAGCTGAGCAGAAGATTCTGTGATATCTGAGCATGCTCACACCACAGTGAACCTTCTGTGTTGGAGATAGAGAGAACCTTGGGGACTCCTCAAGGACCACCTAGTTCAGTGCTTTTCAGCTACATCTGAGGAGAATAAGACCGAGATGGGAAAGAAGCACACAGCCAGATCCATGAAGCCCAATCTCAGCACACACTGCCACATCACACTGCCTCAACAGCTGGCCCAGGGAGTCCAGTGTATCTGAAGTAGCTTCTGGAAGGGGGAATACCCTGTGCAAGGGGAGACAAGGGCCAGAACAGAATGATCTTTTGTAAAGGGCTTTTTCATCTTTCTCCTTAGTGTACACTGCCCACCCTCTTCTAGGTGGCAACCCTGCCACCTTTATTTTCTTCATCCTGCCTGCCACACTTGGGCATGGGCTACTCATGACTGTGGAACCCTCTTGGTGCTACCTTATTCCACAGTGGTGCTGGAATGCCCAATGGATAGCGTCAGGATATGCCAATGTGCTTCTGGTGGGCCAAAATGGCTTTTCATGAAGATCTGAGTATGGTTGGCTCCAACCCAGGGTCTCTCAGCTAGTGTGAACCTTGTCTGAGCAAATAGCTCAGATGCCCAGATGAGTGGACATCTTATCGATGTTCTTCTGAGGTATCAGGGGTTCCCTGGGGTTCATGAGTGCCATGGTTCCTTTCCTCCCCAACCATAAACTCGTTCAAAGACTTTCTTCATCCACTCTGCCCAGTGGTGCCAAGGAAACATAGTCCCAGAGTCCCAGAGTCCAGGCTGAGCCAACTCCCAAGGACTCTTCCCCACTGAATGGGTCTTCCAGCTATTGGGAGTTGGGTATGGGGCCCAACCTCTTAAGACAGGGTTGCTTCAGTGGCCAACATCAGAGGAAAGACCTCTTCTGGGGAGATGAGTGGGAGGGAGGAGGGGATAAAAGTGACCTCATATTTTTCTTGTCTAAGTTTCATTGAATTTTCAATGCTAGGGTCTCACACTGTGACTGGCTTAAGATGCGATGATCACATTTAGGTGGCCGTGAATGTTGAATGTCTCTGGCTCAGTTCATTTCAGCAAATACCTATGGAAAAAGTTCTCCAGGTTGTACATATGCTGAATGGTACAGGGTTCTATACAGAAAGCCTTCTTTACTAAACCATCCACCAAGCATCCATGTCCAGGCATTTTCTTGGTAGCACAATTGTCTTTCTTGCTTAGAAAGTTGCTCTTGTCCTTTCTGTTGGTCAGCAATGCCATTGAGTCAGGAGCCTTTGATTGAAAGGTTCCTAAAGGGATCCTCTTCTTCCTGTTGGCTAAATAGCTGGTCCTTCCTCGGGAATTGGGTGCATGGCATGTTTTGTCTGTAAATGTTTCTTGTAGGTGTCACCATGAACAAAGGTATATTTTCTATTTATTTATTATATATGCACTTCAAGAAGTCACTGTCAGAGGAGTGAAGAGTCCTCTTAAGTATTCTGTTAGAGGATGTCCTTTAGAGCCCTGGGGAAGGGGTGTGCCCAGAGCCAAAGACACCAGCTCTGGTTTGGAAAAATCCTGCTGTACCATATTAAACATACAAAGGATGTCATTGTCTCGTCTGCTTGGTTCATTTTCTGGGACAGTGAGTCTCACGTTACACCAGTTGTCTACAGAAAATAAGATGGACATCAGCCAAGTCTGCCCCACTTACTTCCTGGTCTTGTTGCCAAAAGAGCTACTTACATATCAGTATCCCACCTTGTACCCATCCCACAGCAATGCTGAGAAGAGCAGACAGAAGGGTCCACTGGTAGAGAAGATGTCATGTGTGGCACCAGGCAAGACAGCATGCACCTCATCTCCATGTCCCTGAGCCACCATGTAGCTCTCAATCCTCCCCCTCCTACTGGGGAATCTGGTGAAGTCATCAGACTGAGGGCCAGAAGACCAACTGTCCTTCCCTCAGGTTCTGACCAGAGAACAAACTCCATGTCTGAGAGGGGGACAGAGGCAGGGAAACAAGTCCAACCTGAACTCAAGACAAGGCACAGGAAATAGGTGGAATGGGCCCTGGATTGGAGTGAGGAGGCACACTGTCTGAGCAGAGTGAGATGGTCTGGACTTGTGGATATTGACATTTAATTAATTTAAGAACAATTTAAAATATAGTTTCTTATCTACTGGCCACACGGCAGATGTTCCATAGCTGTAGGAATCTAATACATGAAGAGACGCAAGCATAGACACAGACATACAAATAATCAAAAATAAAATAAAAGTGGGGGAACTGGAGAGATGGTTCAGTGGTTAAGAGCACACACTGCCTTTCCAGAGAACCAGAGTTTAGATTCCAATACCCATGTTGGGTGGCTCACAACCACCAGTAATTCCAGCTCTGCAGGGAAGCAGTAGTAGGTGTCCAACACCTTTTTTGGCCTCTGAAGGTCTGCACACCTGTAGCACATGGTGCTGTCTAGTTTTGTGTCAACTTGACACAAACTAGAGTCACCAGCTTAAGGGAGCCTAAGCTGAGAAAATGCCTCCATAAGATCAGGCTGTAGACAAGTCTGTGGAGCATTTTCTTAACTAGTGATTGATATGGAAGTGCTCAGCCCATTGTGGGTGGGGCCACCCCTTGGCTGGTAGTCCTGGATTCTATTTTTTAAAAAAGCAGCCTGAGCAAGGCTTGGGGAGCAAATCAGTAAGCAGCACCCCTCCATGGTCTCTGCATCAGTTCGTGCCTTCAGGTTCCTGCCCTGCTTGAGTTTCTACCCTTATAGCTTTTGATGATGAACTATTATATGGGAGTGTGAGTGAAATAAACATTTTCCTCTCCAGGTTGCTTTTGGTCATGGTGTTTCATCACAGCAATAGTAACCCTGACTGAGACACACAGATACATACATAAATAGAACAAAATAAATCTATTTCGCTATTAAATTATGTGTGATGGGTGTGGTATGTGAGTACTCGGGAGGCAAGAAGTTTTCAGATTTCTCTGGAACTGGAGTTGCAGGCTGTTGTGAGCCACTTGATATGGGTGCTGTGAACTGAATTTGGGTCCAGTGCAAGCACAGTACCTGCTTTTAACCACTAAGACATCTCTCCAGCCCCACATGCTGCATCTTAAATGAGCCCCAGAACAGCTTCTTGCGTGGTCAAGTGTGACAAGCATGGTTTTGAGGGTCATCTAGAGTCTAGGAAACAGGCTAGCCACAAGTGTGATAATGGGCAGCTTAGCCCTTATGACACCAAGGCTGAAGAATCAGCAGCTGTCCAGTTGCTACCTCACTGCCACCCTCTCTCCTGTCATCTCCCAGATCCCCAACTCACTAACCTCATAAAGAAAAGGGACCAACCAGCCTACAGAAAAAAAAAAAAAAAAAAAAACTGGTGTTAGGCACTGCCCAGAATAAGAACAAAAGAAAATAGGTCTGGCATCCAAGCACTTGAGAGGGATGGATAGCACTTGGATGCACTCTTTCTGAAAAGATGCCATTGAGATGTTCTCCAAATCAGATGTGACAGTACTAAGGGGTACAAAATGAGGAAGAAGTGTCAGGAGAAGAGCCAGCAGCACAGTCTGAAATGACAGAGACATGGAAAAGGTTTTGGAGGTATCAGCCCAGCGTGAGGGCAAGACCAGGGTAACCAAGGGAGCTGCTGAGAGCCTTCAGAAAGGAAGTCTGGGTTTCTGTACTGAACTCTCACTGAGCACAGGCAGTGAGGGAGCAGGTAGGAGAAGCTGTGCAGATCCTCCTTCTTTCCAGTGGGAGGAAAGAAAGAGCGGGATGTTGTCCTAGACATTGATAGGTCTGTAATTGCAGGTTTAAGAATGCAAACAAAAACTAATGATGATAATTAGTCCTACTCAAAATAAGATGTCTCCTTCCTAAACCACTGCAGAAGATAAAAGCAAACAAAATACAGTCTTCTCGGAAAGGGAACAGAAGAACCACCATGGAAAAATACAGATGACCTCATGGCATGTGGGCAGTGGGCAGAAGGGATCCAACCCCAACAGCACAAAAACAAGCTGCCCCATGAACAAAGACCTAGCGAGTCCATTGAGAATGAGAATTAAATCATTTACTGGCTACTGGATTGTTATGGTGAACATTGGTTAGCATGTCAGCTTTCAGAGACCATTTTCATCTACCTGCGATTAAACAAAACTGCTGAAACCTCTGTGATTGAAAGAAACACTGTACCCCCTCCCTGCTACACACACACACACACACACACACACACACACACACACACACACACACATTCATGTATGCAAGCACACACATACATACACATATACATGCACACACATGCACACAACACATGCCACAGTTATATGCATTCACACACATACATGTATGAATGCATACTTACAGTACATACATGAACACATATACACATATACATGAACACAAATAAGTCCATGAGCTTATATTTCACTTACATGTTTTTCCAAAAGAATTGGTCTGGGGGATACTGTGCATGCAAAGGGAAAACTTTCAGCCCATCAAACCTTCCTGCTGCCTTGGGTGGGGGCTCCAGAAGGTGACTCCACTAAGGGTGACCAAAGTGGGCAGAGGTGGGAGCTCCCTGTAGAGCCTGGAACAGCAAAGGTCAGCCTCCAGCGAACACACTTCTGCCTTTTGGTTGTCAGGGTGAGCCAGAAATCCTATAGGCCCTGCACCTAGGCAGAGGTTAGTCTGGCTGTGATATGCACAAAGCTGAAGGAGTCAGTCCCAGGTGACTGAAGGCCCAGGAAGGGATTCCTGTCTGAAAGCAGCTGGGGTTCCTCCAGAGACAGGAGTTGCAGGGGGAAGGGGTTCCGCCAGTATTCAACTGGAAAATATTGTCTGAGACTACAGTGAATAAATGGGTCCTCACATTAATCTAGAACCCCATGCCAAAGAGCCAACACAGGACCCTCGCCACAACACAGGCCACTTGGAAGCTCTGTACAGCATACACTATTGAAGACTTCCTAAGCATCTTCCTCCATTCTTCCCTCTGGGCTCCATCAACAATGGAGCAGGATAGGGGAGCAGAGGAGGAAAGCAGTGGAGAAGAAAAGAGGAGTCAATGTTGCACCCTCTTCTGTGGGTGATCAGGAAAAGGGGTCCTGGAAGTAGAGAGCAGGAGAAATAGATGGGAGGAAGCCCCCCCCCCGTTCTCCCCCCTTGTACCACTTCTCTGTTTCTGTAAAGCAAATCCTTCCACCATAGTGACCACAAGCTGCAATGGCTGGATAGCCAGGTTGCAAAATCCCTGTTTGACAAATGTTCACAAGCTAGTACTAGCTGGCCAGTCACCCGGAAGGCTGAGTTAACAGAGGTACATTTGAACACAGCTTGAGAAAAAAAAAATGGGAATATCTGACTGTGCCTGTAAGATCAGCCCATGCAGTCAAGCAATCACACAAACAACAGGGGACCACACAAGTTCACACTCCAAGAAAGAACTAAGTCTCCGAGATGGTATCCTGCCTATGTATGTGTTAGTTTGCTTTGGTTTTTGGTTTTTTTGAGAGACATTCTCCTATAGCCTAGACTTACTACGGAGCTAAGGATAACCTTGGGCCCCTGATCCTCCTGCCTTGCCTTCCAAGTGTTATTATAGCCATGCACCACTATGCCAAACTCTGTGTGTGTTTTCTAATAGGCTGGTTTTCCTTCTAGAGTGAAAACACTCTGTATCTGGTTGGATGATGATAACTTTTGGGATAGTGCAATGGCTAATCTTGGTTGTCAGCCTGACTACATCTGGAATTAACAAAAACCCAAGCAGCTGGACACACCCATTCAAGAGTTTTTCTTGGTTGGATCATTTGGTATGGAAGACATAACCTAATCTGGGTTTAAGGTCAGAAGACTCACCTAAATCTGGTGGGTAGCCCACTTAACAGGACAGGGAAGGAGAAAGTTTGGGCTTTCTACCATTTGCCATCACTCATTCCTTCACTGGTGCTGGAACCTACTTCTTCAGGATTCCAATGCAGACTGAAAACTGGCAGCTCTCTTGGACTTCCCTGGCACTCTAGCACCAGATTGGGACTACTGAGACATCCAGTCTTGAGAGAGAGAGAGAGAGAGAGAGAGAGAGAGAGAGAGAGATTATATTAGTTATTCAATCAGTTCTGTCCCTTAGAGACCCTAACTAATACAAATGAGGACTGTCTTCCTAAGCACAATGGTGCATATAATCAAGACTGGCTGATACATAGCAAAAGAGATGGCTCAGTGGTTAAGAACATTGCTGTTCTTCCTCCAAAGAACTGAATTTGGGTCCCAGCACCCATGTCAGGCAGTTCAGAACTGTCTAAAACTCCAGTTCCAGGGTGCACATACTCACATGCTGACACATATCTATGCATAAATACATATAATAAAAATAAAAATTTTACAAAAGGCTAGTTGATATAACTTTGTCAAATTATTAAAACCAAATAATACTGAAAGAAAATGCGCTGAGAAAATGATTTAAAATGTATATCCTAGGTAGGAGATGAATGTCGATGGATGCCTGTTCATCTGACTGTCACCACACACATTCTCCTATTCCACCATTTTACTCAGCTCTTTAATGTATTATGAAGCACCTTAGGCAAGATTCTTGCTA